TCGTAGAAGAAAAGGGGTGGGCAGGGCGGGACAAGAAGCTGACAGCTGGTACGAAAGACACAGCTTAAACCAAAGCTTCGAGATGAGTGCATGCTGTACCTCAAGAATAGAACCTTCTAGACCCAAACCAGCCAGGCCATGCTACAGAAGGCAATCAAAATTTGCTGGCTTCGCAAAGATCTGTTTCAAGGCCCAGGACTCAAATTGATGTCTATATAAACCACGACTTGAACGGTTTAGACAAAGCTTTGCAGCTCTGTGGCGTAACACCGTTGGCTGAAGCTGCACTGCCACCTGGGTGGTCACACCCTGGCACTAGTCACATCGATACTCAGATAACGGTCTTGGCCACCTGCGTGCTCTCACCGGCCCTCATAAGTTGAGGCCCGGGCTAACATGATGTCGAAGTCGCCGGTGATTGCTCGAGAGACGTGATCGAAGATCTCATCCTTCAAACATGCAGAAGCCGATCACTGCCATTTTCCTGCATAGGATAACATGCCAGTGTCAGCGTCTATGGCTTTCGCTTCCTGCACTGACCGTGAACTGCCTTGTACTGTTTCTGAGCTCGTGACCACGGACCAAGGATACGTCAGGTGCTTCTGGATCCTTCGAGTCAACAGGAGGCTCGGGAGACCCTCACGAATCCCTGGCACCGATGTCGAGAGCTCCGATGTACAAGCACTGACAGCAACAGCGGAGGTGTCAGCATGTCCGGTTGCGGCACGAGATTCACTGCCAACGCGAAGTCTTTGTCGTTGCGCAGCCGCTCAGAAGCATGCCCTAGGTGCTGCTTACAATTACAAGGGAGTAGATGTGCATTGCTACGATTCCTACGACGTCCCAATACCGCACAAAACTGGATACAGGCTGGCCAAGCGCTTTGCTTAGTGCGAGTACCCCTGGAAACAGCTAGAACAGGCGACGCAACTTCAAACAAGGTCTAGGCCGAGAAGCGAATTCTCAAGGAGGTTCCCCGAAGTACCGAGTCTCTGGATGCAGACATGAAGCTGAAGTTGCGACAGTTGCTTTTTAGGAGGAACTCGACCACCTATCCCAGGGCTAGTGAGGAAACGCGATAGAGAGGCAAGCCAGCGAAGGTGGGAAGAACTGTCTGCATCAATGCTGCATCCATCAATCAGAATTCTTCTGCCCACACGCTCTTCACTCTCTCCCGTCCGTCGGCCTCTTTGTCGTCCTTGATGGCATCCGTCGCGTATTTGAGTGGAACGCCTCAAGGCCAAAGAGGACTGCTGCTACGGACTTGGAGCTGTCAAAACAGCACCGCTAAAGTCGGGAAGAAGCGTGCTTGCCATCATTTGCCATCCCTCCGCTCTTGAAGCCTGGCCGAGTGTCCAAGTTCGCCCATGGCCACCTGGCAGAGTTCTCGGTCTCCCCGCAGCACTTCGGAGAATTCCTCAAGTTTTCATGGACATGGACAATGTTCGTTGCAACACTTGTAGGGAGAAAGCTGGCGAAGGATTCCAAGGAAGCCGCTGTATTATGATTATTATGGAACCTCCGTATTGCTGGCGCATGATGCCTCCTGCTCCCTCATCTGCCCCACTCGTAGAAGGTGAAAAGGTAGGTTCAGGGTTTAGGGTTTACCGAACTGCAGGCTAAGATTGCTCCAGGCATCCGGAAAAAGAGCGCTCCGACCTGCAAGATGTCCACACGGACGTCGGCAGTCGACGAAGGTACACTATCAATGACTAGAGACTACCATCGAGAGATACAAGCTTGAGCATAGATAAAGGAGGTTGAAACTAGTATGTACCAGACTGAACGATGACGAAAAACTTCTCTTCACTACCAAATCTTGAATCCATCGGGATGCCTGGTTGCGACAGAAAGGCCAGGGCATCCTTGCGCACCAAGGGCGTGACCTTCCTGATGACATCTTCACAAAGGCGTTTTGAATTGAACGGGCAGCAGTACTGCAAGACTCGCTAAACAACGAGACCAGTTCAAAGTCCGCAGTGCTTGCTGGCCAAAAACCCTTCTAATCAGACGTTGGACTGCAACTCATCCGGTCCAACTTTTGTAACGTAAGTCAGGATGCTTGCAGCTGGTGAGTCGGCCGAGAGTTACGACCTCGTTCCTCAGCTGGGTGTTGTGGACAAAGTTGGGAAGCTCAGAGATCAACCGCAGGATCGCAGCTTCGAAAAGTTGCAACAAAAGCAGTCATGTTATTGTTCTGGACAAGCATGTCATGCATCATGGACGGCCTTCAGCCGCCACATCTCATGATCACCCGGTATCTTCTGAAACAGTGCAGTGCAGCAAGTCCACAAGATATCAACCTAAGCCATATCACTGTGTGAATTCACTGCATTCAGCTTTGAGCCCTGCTACCAAAACTCAATCAGTCTATGTTTGCTTGTGAAGGATGGGCTTGACGCTTCGGCACGGAGTACTTTGCACTTGGCTAAGGGGTTGAGGCAACACCAGCTGTCTTAAGAATTTGCAGTATCCTGCTGAGCCTGTTTACTTCCAACGGCACAGCCATGCGTTGAGCTGCAGTGCAGTCTCCCCCAATACTTTACAGATGTAACCAATCTCAAACCCGTGGCCAAGGCACGAGCCATCTCCACCACCCATGCACCAATCCAGGAACTCTTCATACCTGGCAAGAAGAGAAGCCAGACGATGCTGGCAGACTCTTCTTGCCTAGAACTTCTTGCTGATGTGATGACAGGCCGGACTCGCTGCACATTGCCGTCAGTGTTGCGGTCTATGACCTGCAACCGCGTCTCAGGTTTGCAATCAACTTGAAGCAGCACATGCACAATCAGTCAAGCATGTTGCTAGGCTCTTACAGCAAACGTCCTGTTGAGCCTGTGGCAGAAATGTGACAGGAAAGCTGGTCGCAGCATGGAGGACAACATCTCGTGACAAGGGCGAAACCCTGCCAGCCTTCATCAGGCCTTCAACTGCAGCATTGGTCCACCTGCTGCAAACACAGGTCATCTTAGCATCTATCGCTAGTGCTGCTGCTGACCGAAGCTCTGTCCGTATGGCACCTCTTCTTGTCCAGGCGACGGAGGAGCTGCACGAAGGCTTCCCGACCTCATGCGCCAGAAAGTGAGTGCAAGCATCTGCAGACTTGACCAAACGCTGCAGCTGAAGCTTTCTCCACATCCAAGCAGCTTAGGACTCCTGTCTGCTCCACGTCTGCCTTTCGGAAAATGGCCTGTGCTCCGTCGTGTCGCATGACTGGAATTGGAACTGCTAAATACTTGAGGCTGAACAGCGTCCTGCTGCGAGAGGCAGTTCCCCTTTGAGAAATGCTTTCAGGACCGTGAAGCATCAGAATTTGAGCATCCACCCACCAGCACCAAATCCCCGGTACTGTACCGCATGCTGAACCTTGATAAGGGTCACATCGGTCGCATTGAGAGAAGCATGGCTTGGCATAGCTAGCCGAAGAAAAGTGAGAAGGGACACGGAGTGCACGGTACGAATGCACATCAACCAACTCCTGCCAAGCCCTCCACAGTTTTAGCCACTACAAGCGGTAGTAGGCGATGTCTTCGCACAATCGGCCCTGCCACTAAGACTATGCCACGAGGAAAGTGACTGCTACGTACCTTGGAGCCGAAAGGGAAATGCACGCGAGGTTACATCAGCTCTCGAGATGGCCGTGACGGAGAGCGGCGCCCACATGGTACAAGTAATCCCAGGGTAGCAATAGCTCTGGGAGGCACGTACAGTCTGGTTGCCAAAGTAGGCCAGGGCACCAAAACGGCCTTCTTCAAGACGATGCGACTGCAGCACTAGCTGTTGGGCGTCTTCAGGCGCGCAGCCCTCTCATCCCAGATTGCCGACAGTCCCTGCGACCTCCACGACGAGTTGCCCTGGCAGCCGCATCCTTGGTTAACTTACTGCCTTCAACTGCTCGGGAGTCACGACTTTCTTGAAGGCAGGGCTGCTGCAATTACATCGACGTACCCAGTGTTTAGTTTTCCTTTCTCGTCGACTCTTCGTCCGAACAGGGCTGTTTCGCCATCCCTGTCATTGTGAAACAAACGCACTGAGCCAGACTTGACAGTCAAGCATGTGAAACAGTCATCTCATCCCATCTGCTTTCAGTGTTCAGTTTTGCCTGCCTCTGCCCTTACTCAATCCTCTCCCCCGATTGCAGCTGGTTTTTGTCGTAGAAGTTGTCCATCATCGTGCAATTGATGTCGTCAGGCCTCAGTCGCACGTCGTTCGTGCGTCGATGTGCATGAACGATGGATTGCTTTAGACACCACGACAGTTTCCCCTTCGCTCGAAATATAATGCTTCGGGTCGTTCTGCTCGTCGCAGTCCGCAGTAGCAACTTAGGATTGGGGAGGCCAAAGGGCCACAACTCAGCCATGTCTTCTCAGCACCCGACATGAGAGTGCGATCCAGCTTTTTCATGCCATGCTGTGCAACACCCAACCTCGGATGAGTCTGCAAGACCCTCAGCAAGTTGTTTTGATGCCCACATCGGAACCTGGCTCACACCGAAGAGCCCTTTAAACACAGCAAGCAGATACAGTCCAGCATGAAGCCTACGACGACATGCAAGCCTCTTTTCCCAGGCTCCACCACGTTTCAAGCACATCACCAGCTTTTCTGGCACCTTAGGTGCCTCAAGGCTGATCGGCAACTATAGAGAGATTAAAGAATTCTTTGGCTGGCTTCAGCGATCACGGAACCTAGTTCTCAAGATGCATCAGTCTGTTGAAGCCAACTACACTTCTCACTGCAGCGTTGATCTCATTCGCTCACTCCGTGCAGATCAAACGTGCGAGGCACCTGGCTCAAAGGGGATGCCTGGTTGTACTCTATGCATAACCTCTAACATGAAGTGGCATGCCCGCTCAACACTGCTGCGGATCTGCTCAGACTGATTTTCCACATGCTGCTTTGACCTGTTGCAATACCCTGAGGAAGCACAATACTCCCAATGTCGCCTCACACGCTGAATGATGGACCAATGGACCAGGAGTACTTGAAAGCCTCTTCGTAGGCAATCGGAGGCACTTCCTTGGGCAGAAGCTCATTCGCGCTGCATCGTAGGACTGAACCTAATTTAAAAACAACATCAACGCAGCAACAGCAGGCCGCTTGCGACCTAGACTCCCAGGCCTCGTAGCTGATTTGCGTCGCATCCTGCCGGAAAGTGGTGGTTCGGTGGCCGAACATGGCAGGACAGACATGCCTAGTGCCATAGTCATAGTGCACTCACGTTGTCGGCCGTGAGATTCAGATCTTCGGAGATCCAATTTCTTCACACCAACACAGCTCAGGAACTCCAGCAAGTGTCTGTCCAGACAACGAGTGTACTTCTTGAGGGTTGCAGTCAAGCTGTTCACACTTCCAGTCTCGTGCGTCATGCTAGCACTGCACTGCACACTGCCACATAATGATCGAGCACACATAGTTGTTCAATATTTCCCACAGCTTGTCCTTGCAGACCTGCGCTCCGAAGCACAGCTGTCCGATTCCTTCGAAGTACTCACCGGTGACCACATCCTGTTGCAAGCCGCCAGAGCACAGGTCGTAACCACTTGCGCTACTAACACTGCCTGTGCCACCAAGCCAGTGATCGCAATCATGGCGAGGCGTCCATTATTCAACTCCTGGCCCAGATGTGCACAGCTCTTTCTGGAGCACACACTGTCTGTCTCTTCTCTTGCACCGCAACACGTGGAGATCTCCTGGCACTGGACGTCCTGCCATCTGTTCCATACCTTGGAATCATAGCTCTCGTCGATGATGCCCTGCCACCATTTGGCGTCCAGGCGAGACTAAGGGGTTTAGGGTTTATCTAAGCTAGCCGCTGGCGACCCAGAGATTCAGGGTTCAGTCTTGCTTTGAGGGCCTCTTTGGTGTCTGCCTGTTACAGCATCTCCCAACCCTATTGGGTAGGCAGAGATGGCAAACGTATTTGAAACGTCGGTTGAGGGGTGTTTAGTGTCCCTGGCTTCCTGTGATGTTCTTGACATTGGAACATTGAAAAAGAGGGTCTTGGGCCGGTCTTGGGGGGCTTTGTACGGCTTAGAAAGGTCCTGTCCTTCCAGCCGAGGACATCCCAAGGTCGGTCTGCCGGCGGCTTGCAGATGTAGGTTGTCACCCACTCCAGGCACATGATGGTGAACACGACCTGCCACATACCTGAAAACAGCAAAGCTGCTGAAGGGGATTTTTTACTCAGGCGACTGTCCAAGATGAGCCACCGCCCATTGGAAGCTGCGTCATGTTGACCAGCGGATTGTTCGACATCTTCTCTCCGATCGCGTAGTCCTCGGTACGATTGACCCCAGTGTACATAAGCCAACGGCTAACGGTATTGGCTCGTAGTCTACGGTTTTCTACCACGTCTGCTGTCATCGTGTCCGATCCGAGTGTCACCCAGCAGGTGGTATCCCGCCGACACATGGAACCAGTGCAGCACAGCGAGCCTGTGCTTCGAACAAAGACTTCTGGGATGGCCAAGGATACATTCTCACAAGCCCAGCTGCATTGCAACACGCCCATGCTTGAGCTCGATGGCACGAAGCCTTGCACTCCATACGCATTGCCGCAAGTCTACAAATTGATCTGATGTTCTGGCACATGTGCCGTTTCCATTCAGCCATGCGTCTGCAAGACTTCTTTCTCCGTTGACCTTGCAGTGATGCCTGGCACGGAACGTCTTCAGAGCTCCTCTTCTAACTTCCATCCGCTAACGAGGCTTCTGCCCATCTGGACTGGGACTCGTGCCGGCAGGGTCCCAAAAGCTGTCCTGGAACGGGCCGCCTGTTCCCACGATCAGCTCCTGACGATGGGTGAGGCTCCATGCTTTGCATGCAGGCAGTAAAGATGAACCGGTCCACTTTACAAATCGATTTCGAGGACATCTTTGGCGAAGTGGAAAACCCTTTCGATAGGGAGGATGGGGGGGTTGTCGCTCGTGAATTTGCGGAGCCGTAACCCCACCCAACCACCCAACCACCCCGGGTGGCGAGTGGGCGGGAAGGGAACAACCAACCCCGGGGTATGGCGAAGTGGCAGCTCCAGTAAGAGAGCAGCTGGAGAAACTAACCCAGGCCGGATAGCATGACTCCATGACTCCTGCGCCGCGCTCAGAGCTCTAAGCGGCGAGTCTGTGTAAACCGACCTCATGTTCAATGCATGTCGAAGACTGTGCTGAGCAGATTGTGCGCGAAAGTGAGCCCAGCAGCCAGTCGCCCCATGCCGTGCCTGTCAGACCGTTCCTCGGTGATTACATACTAGTGTCATGCGGTTCTCGGATCACTGTACTTTATAGTCAGAGGAGGCTCCATCCCTTCAACCCGGTACTTGTTCACTGCTTCTGTCCCAGGCACTGAAAGAACATGCCGATGATGGCCATCATGGCCAAGCGGCCATTGGCGATCTCCTCATGGCCAGTGGCATAGCTGGCCATCTTGCTCCCGTGGCTCATGCTTCTCAGCAAGGTGCCAAGCGGACATGGACATAGCCCTTTCAGCCAAGTCTCTGCAGAAAGCTTCTTCTCCTTGGTACCCTCAGGGGACTTCACAAAGCCGTTCGGGATGCCCAGGTACCTAGATGAGCAGAGCTTGCTGATGCCGCATTTGTGGACTCAGATATGGCATGAGTGCCACTCGCAGTGTTCACTTGTATGCATTCAGTGGCCGATTCAACAAGGACTGCAGACGCATTCCAACGTGGAGCACTTAGTCTTGGCAAATCTCGGGAATTATGCTGTTGCGTCTCAGGCGCCCGGCATTCTCGAAGTCACCCGGGGCCCTCTTGGGATCGTCGACATACCTAGAAGGCAGAATCAAGATTGCAAGGATCTAGCCTCAACATGCCTCAACGTCCGAGCTGCAACCACGTCTAACATCGTCTGACTGCTTTGCGAGCGACTGAAAGAGCTCGACAGAACCAGCGAAGGCTACCATCTGCGCCCAGCCGGACAGAGGCACCTCTGTTCAGGGCGTTTCAGCCAGCGGCTTTGCTCTGCGATTCGAACACGCGCCTTGCTGAAGGCTGCGAAGCCAGTGGGGATATCGGTGAACCTCGGAAAGAGCGACAAGGAAAAGGCGAAATAGCTGCAAACCCGAAGAAAGTCGTTTCCGCCGGGCCGCTTCAGGCCCAGAGAAGGGGAGAGGTCACCGGGCCATCGGTAGTACTCTGGGACAATGTATCCCAAACAAGCCAGCCTCGGAGCGGTCAGCGCTCGGGAGAAGAGGCTTTCGCAACGCACTTACTAACGGCTAACCTGACAGGCAACTACCCTTCAGTGTGCCCAGGAAATGCGGAC